AAAGGACCTTAAACTTGATGAAAATAACTTTTATTGTTTATGTTATTATTAAGAGGAAAGATCAAAGTATTTGGGGTGTATATTTATATATATTTTTTTAATCATTTCCTAGCACATCTGAGATTTTTGTTAAAAATCTTTTTTTTTTGAGCCAGCAAAATTGACAGATAATCATGTCAACTATTTTTTTCCATTTTATATATATATATATATATATAAAAAATTATAATTTTTTCAAAATTTATTTTAAGAAAATTAGAAATTATGTTTATTTAATTTGAAACGAGCATTACTTAGTTTTCTGCACCAAAAAGATGTAGTTTGAAAAAAAAAAACAAAAAAAAAAACGTCATAACATTTGGTGTCACTTGACAGGTGATGAGTGATGATTTCATCACGTATTAACAGCTTAGGCGAGGAAAAGTTTGTACGGAAGGACAGAAGTGACACAATTATTATTATTTACATATAAGTGAACCAACTTATTTACCTCGTTATTTTTAAGGAAAACTTTCAGCACTAATTTTTTTAGTGTGCTTAGCTTTCACCTTTACATTTACGATGCTTTATGGAAAATATATTATAAAAAAAAATTAAAATATAAAAATAAGATCATATAAATTTCATAAGATGATATACTAATTCTTGTTGGTATCCTTTTCAGTTGAAATTGAAAAATCAAATTAACTTATCCACGTGTTTCACAAAGAAGGGACCAACAGTGAAGAACAACGCGACTTTTTATTGTATTCTTGCTGGTCTTCCATACATTTGAATTACAGCCGTTTTATGGACACGAAAGCCATCTAGAATTAGTTTCTTTTTTTTCCGGCTCTTCTGATTATTAAGCTATACAACTTATAATGCTAAAAGATAAATAACACCATTGACTAAACTGAACGCAGTTTTCACTAATTTTAAAATATTTTAACTTTAATGTAAAAATAAGAAATAAATAACAAATAATTGTTTTAAACATTCATTTTTCACCAAAAAAAGCTATTTTGCTTTCAGACAATATTATCCATATTCACAACAACTAAAAGCATTTGAAATTAAATAATATCTTTTATTTTTTTTTTTTATTTTTTTTTTTTTATTTCGTTTTGTATGTCACAATTCAGAGCTGATTTTCAAGTGGCGGAGTGGGTGGGTAGGCAATTTAAAAAAACATACACGATTTGCTTTCTTCAAAGCCTTGTGCTTTTAACTAAATATAATCACTAAACTGAGAACAGTATTAAATTTGTACAGTTTTCATAAAATTAATTATGGGGAGGGGGGGGGTTAATAAATATATATAAAGAAATTTTTGCCATGACTTTAAAAAACAATACATATTTATAATAATTTCCATCATTTGTGAAGTTTCTGAAAGTTTCATTAACATTTGACAATCATTTTATTTGGTAAATGTATATTGTAACACCCGAGCGCTAATATCCCTTCAAATTTTTCCAAAATAGTCTTAATTCCGTGCAAATGTATATGCTTAACTCAAATCAACAATTAGATATTGAAGAAACCTATCTTTTTGGATGTTAACGACCAGAAATAATTGGACTTATTATTCGCTCTTCTTGTCATACTTTTACGGCCTTATTGAGAGACATTCACTGCTGAACGATTTTTGCGCATTTATACAATTTTGGACCTAATTACTCCCTCAACAAAATTAATACGTTTTTTTTTTTTTTTTTAATTTAAGTAAAGTTAAAAGTTAACTTTCAAGTGTAGATTTTACTTATTTTTTAAGAAGAAAGTTAACTTTCAAATGAAAATATCGACAAATAAAAGAATAACAAAAGTAATTTTTCAAATGTATGAAAATAAGTGATAAGTGTACTTTTTAAAGAAGAAAGTTAACTTTCAAATATATGAAAATATCGATGAAAATACTTATAAATAACAAAAAGAACAAAATAAGTAGGACAGTAAAGCATTTTTTAATATTATACACTGAAAATAAAAAACAATAATTAAATCAATTGTAAGAGGAACTTAAAAGCTTGGAAAAAAAATCCTACCCCTAACCCTACTTAAATTAAAGGAACTTAAAAGCTTGGAAAAAAATCCTAACCCTACTTAAATTAAAAAGAAAAAAAAAACGCGTATTAATTTCGTTGAGGGAGTAATTAGGCCAAAATTGTATAAATGCGCGAAATCGTTCAGCAGTGAATGTCTCTCAATAAGGCCGTAAAGTATGACAAGAAGAGCGAGAATAAGTCCAATTATTTCTGGTCGTTAACATCCAAAAAGGTAGCTTTCTTTAATATCTAATTGTTGATTTGAGTAAAGCATATACATTTGCACGGAATTAAGACTTTTTTGGAAAAATTTGAAGGGATATTAGCGCTCGGGTGTTACAATATACATTTTCCTTTTATTTTTGTAAGACTTCTTTTTGCCATACTAAAAAAAAAAAAAACAACGTGCTAAAATTATGTTATTTAGCTCCGCTGATACAAAGAGAAACAATTTTTTTTTTTTTTTTTTTTTTAAATCAAAAGTTAGAATGTTCTTTCCTAATAACAAACAGACGATAAAATTTTGTTTTCGTCAAGTTTGGCGTCTTTTTTTTAGCGATCTCTCGGAGGTGCCTACCCAATACAAAGAGGAAATAACAGTACGTAAATTTATAGTCGCATCAACAAAATACCTCATAGGAATTGGTTAGAAAATCAATTACATTTTACAATGGATTTCCCCTAAAATCTTAGTGATCGGATGAAAATCAGTTCTAACCGAACAGCTTTTTGAGTTACCAAGTAATACTGAAGATATCGTTGACTCAGACACGGACTGAAAATTTGACAAATACAAATTACATAAGTACAAAATAAAAGAATTTAAACTATTTATGGTAATTTCTCGCAATTTTAGCACTGCCAAATTGGTTAAAAAAAAAATAAAAAAATAAAACGATATTCCGATACCTGTAGAAATCATCAAATAGAAATAATTGTTTTAAAAATTCATTTTTTTTTTAGAGGTTGTGGTAATCAAATAAATCATTTTACAAAAACAAAACATTCTCCTTTCTTTAACTTTAAGTGATGTTTTAATTGGCTTCTGAAAACCATAAAGTCAGTTATTATTACTCATTGCTGTGATCATCTTCTGCAATTCACTGTGACAAACAAGATTCTAACGATCACTTTGTTTTGTTCTAAAAAAATTATTTTAACGGTCTACAGTTTGCACTTCTTTTTAAGATCGGTTGGATATCTTTTTTAAAACCACTATCGATTGTTTAGTAAAACTAGAACTGTAAAATGAAATCGGATTTAAAGCACAATTATTTGTAAGAAGGAAATAAGTAAATAATAGAGACATAAAAAAAAAAAAAAAAGTTACACAAAAATACGTCATTGATACTAATGAATGAATGTGTCAGTATGTGAAGAAAACTCCCAAAAAAAACTGACCTTTTAGGTGTTTAAATGTCATACCAACAAAAACGTCATAAGCAAAATATTTGAAAGACACGATTAAATTTAAATAAAATAAAAAACATGGATTATTTTTTGGGGGCCAAGAAAATTAGACTATGCTGTTATTAAAAATGTGTTCATTTTTTTTTTTTTTCACTCAAAATAAGTGAAAATATATTGGTAACCGAGATCTCATGACTTTGAAAGAAAGTGTTTAAAAATAGCAATTCTGAGTAGTAAAAATGATTGCGCGTGGGTGATGTGAACTACCTTCACCAAAATAGGAGGAGGATAAAACAAGGTGTTTTTTAATTCATGAAATAAAACTTGGTTATTCCTCACAATAGTGTGTACGATATCATGTTTAATAACAAGCTTCAATTGTAAATTTTCAATAAAAAAGGCATTTAGAGAAAGTTTTATTTAAAAAAAAAAAAAAAACTTTTAGTAGAAAGATAAAAAAATAAAATAAAATAAACTAATAAGAAGATGCACCAAGAAAAATAGAGACTTAAAGTGATTAAAAAATTTAGTAGTGAACGTTTTGTTTTTACGAGTCAACATTTTTTTTTGTATTAATGCAAACTTAGAGAAAGCGATAAACGATCAACTAATGGCTAACAACATGGAAATGTTTAACTGGGACAAATGACAGATTAAATGAATTAATTACATTATACTTAGAATGATTTCCATATGTTCCATTCACTTAGAGAATAGAGGTATATTCGTACGTTTTTCCGGTTAAGTAAAAAAAAAAAAAAATGGGTAAAAAGAGAAAAGGTTTTGGTTTAAAAAAAAAAAAAAAAAAAAATATGTATTCTGTGGGTTGTTACTATGAAATAAAAAAAACTTTAGTTACACGTTTTTTTTTTGTTTTTTTTTTACACACATTCATTAAATCACGAAAGACATAATGGTTACTGTGAAATCTAAGTAAAACAAATACATTTTTTTTCAAATAACTGAGAAATCTTTTCAAAAGAAAAATGATTAAAAATGAGAAAATAAATTAAGCGTTAAAATAAGGAACCATTTGATTTTGTAAGGGAAATTCCGGAATAGTGTTTATTTTTCTATCGTTATTGTAGGAAAGAAAAACAAATTCTAGGTGTGAGGAAGGTTAAAAATAACTGGAAAATAGGTTAGGAAAAAAGAAAAAATGCGAAGAAGAAATAACAGTAATAAAGAACACTAGTGTAAATTTTACTGGTAATGGAAAAAAAAAAAAAAATACAAACCAGATATTTTAAGAACTAAAAGTGACTACACATTGAGATGAAAAAAACGTGTCAATTAAAACAAGGAGGGACTGAAGACAATTGAAAAGGTATTTAAAATGAAGACAATTCTTGGCACAAAGTAATTAAATTTTCATATTACATGGTCACAATAAAAGGGGTTAGTTTCTTATATTGGAAACATTATGAATTGATCCCCGACTTAATCGTATAAAATACTGTACTTTACAACCAAAGGAAAATTTGAGTGGGAAGATCAAGACACCGGTAAAAATCCGTCGCGAGACTCCTTTTTCTGTAACGAATCGACATTTGATTTACTCACCAGTATATTTCTGCACATTGATCGCAACAAATATAATCTATTCGCTTCTACAGCGATTTCCACCAGATTCAGGCTGCCAACAGAACGCTGACGACTGGAATGAAAAAGACAGCTCTACAGAACGATATCGTTGTTGCTTTCGCTTTACAGACAAGACAACATGGCCGCCGCAGTCAGTTGATGACGTCAGGTAGCGGAATGTCACGTGATCTGAAGTTTGTCGTTCCTACATTTTTCAGGATATATGTCTGCAGTAGAGAAGTAAAGAAAAAGTTGTGTGCAAGTAAGTTCACTAAGGCTTGTGTATGTGTTGTTGAAAGTAAAAAAAAAGTGCTGGAGTGGTTTTATATTGAGAAACTTTTCAAGCATAAATACCTATTTTTAACTGTAATATATATTTTTTAGGCATTTTAAATTAAAAATAAATTTATTTACATATGTGATTATTCGCAACTTTAACCCTGGATCTTTGAGGAATTGTGCTTTAAAAAATTAGTGGAATCAATATTTTTAAAATAAATCTTTGAACGTTGGGATATTTTAATTATCTTTTTATTTGACAGTTGTTTTCTTTTCCGCTGTCGCTCAGTACTGTTATTTTAGGTTTTATTTTTTTTTAGCACAGGAAAAATTTTGAAACATGCTTTATGTACCTTCTTTTACGTTTTATTTCAGATAGGAAGAGTAAATGCGTATTTTTTTGTTTTGTTTGTTTTTAGTAAAAAATATAAATTTATTCTTTTGTTAAAACAAAAAACAACACTTTCTTTGTTCATCCAGCAATTTCATTGTTACTAAAAATAGATCTACGCAACAGTTGTAGCGAGTTTGTACTTTCTCCTTTAATTGCCTTCCTACCTTTTTCACTGTCACTTTTTCTTTCATGATCGTCATTTTGCGTAAGAAAATAACCAACAAAAACATATTTCTTGCTTGAGCAAAAAGAAACGTAAATAGTTAAAAAAAAAAAAAAAAAAAAACGAATTTCGCAACAATCCCTACGAAAAACAGTAAGTACGATATACGCAATTTCGGATGTGAAATGGAACAGTATGAAAAAGTTATTAAAAAAAGTATAAAAAGTAATTCGAGTTGAGTAAAAGCAAAAAAAATAAAAATAAATAAAATGTGCCGGAGTGGTTTTATATTGAGAAACTTTTCAAGCATAAAAATACCTATTTTTAACTGTAATATGTATTTTTTAGGCATTTTAAATTAAAAATAAATACATAAACTAAAAAAACTGAGTTTGTAACAAGTGGGTGTTTCTGAATAATACAATTATTATTTATTTCCAAACTTTTTTAATCTTTTAGTTTAAAAAAGTTTGGAAATAAATAATAATTGTATTTGGAAATAAATATTTGTATTCAGAAACACCCACTTCTTGCAAACTCATTTTTTTTTATAAAGATTGTTATCTTTATGTCGATTTACTTTTTTATTTTTAAAGGCAAGGTGGGTGTACTGTTAATTCTGTGTTTTCAAGTTCACAAACCATTGATTTTGTTTGGTGAGTAGAATGTTGAACATTTTCTTAGATTAAGATTATGAACGAAATACTAGACTAGAAACTGGCATAGATTTCCAAGATGACCTGTGTGAAATATGAAGATAACAAACTTTAAAAAGACTTAAATTTTTTCAGTGTCTTGTTCTCAGAACGTAGCCAAACATTTTTTTTTTAATCAGTGAAATGACATGATGACTAATTGGCGAAAAATAGAGGAGTGTTTTATTAATTCAGATATATTCGACAGTTCAGTTGTTTTTTTTACTCTGCTAAAAATAGTTGCGGAGAGGAGATGGGTTCTGATTCACCTTTCCCGAGGGCATTAGTATGAAATTGAATGCAAATGACTAAGCTGGATTTTAAACTTGACTCATCGCTCTTATACCGATAACTAATGCTACTACTACTTACATCCTTTTGGATATTTTAGCCTAATGAACTGATGTTCTTCTTAATACTTGAGTTGACTAAAGCGGCACTGAGTTTTTATCAAAGTTTTAAAAAACTATGACTTCAGGGTGGATAAAAAAGTACCTTTCCTCGAACACTTAATTGTAAAATTCACAATCAATATTTTCTTACCTTAGTTTTGAAAAAGCGGTAAATTTGCTTTTTAAGCCCCGCAAAGGAAATCTATTATAAGTTTCCCAAATCGTCATATTTCCGTGTAAATGTATATGCTAAACTCTAAATAACGCCCAAATTTTGATAAAACCTACGGTTTTGTAGTTATAGGCAATTAAAATTCGGACTCAGTTGCGTTCATTCGTCCGCCATTATGTGCCTTGTTTAACTATATGCAGAACACTTTGCGCGCGGAAGCTTAATTAACGGCTTTTTATTTACTGCTTTTACTCTGGTAAATTACTGCGCGCTGTCGGAAAGCAATGACAAATGGTAAATAAAGCTTTCTTTTCAAATTAAAAATAATAAAATAAAACTTTTCTTTTAAATTAATAAAAAAAAAAATTAAATATTAAAATAAAACTTTTCTTTTAAATTAAAAATAAAACAAATAATTAATGCGCAAACTTTGAAAAGAGCATGATAACTAACTCTTTGAACCATTCGGGTTAGTAACCCTAACATTTGGGGTTTAGGGTTTTTAATTTTTTTTAATTCAAAAAGAAAGCTTTACTATAAAAAAAAAAAAAATAAAAATAACAACACTTGTCATTGCTTTTCGACACAACTTAAGTGTGCAATAATTTAAAACTCCAAAAATTTAATAAAAAACAAAAGTAAAACATAATTAAAATTTGTTCTTGTTAGTTTAGTATTTCCTTTCTAGCTTTTTTCAATTATGCTCTTTACAAATTTTGCATATTAATTACTGTATATTTTTAATTTAAAAAAATGCTTTATTGTATTATTTATTTTGTTCTTTTTCATTTTGTCATTGTTTTTTTGACACAAAGGGTTTACTGTATTATTTAATTTTTTTCCTTTAATTTGTTTGCTTTTCGACAAGGAAGAAAAGGGTTTAAAAAACACATGTACACTTGTCATTGCTTTCCGATTAGTGCGCAGTAATTTACACGAGTAAGAGCAGTAAATAGGCCGGTAATTACGCCTCCGCAAGTAAAGTGTTCTGCAGTGAATGTAGTTAAACAAGGCACGTAATGGCGGACGAATGAGCGCGACCTAGTTCGAATTTTTATTGTCGATAACTTCAAAACGGTAGGTTTTATCAAAATTTGGGCGTTATTTTCGAATTAGGCATATACATTTGCACGGAAATATAATGATTTGGGAAAGTTATAATAGATTTTCTTTGCGGGGCTTAAAAAGCAAATTTACACACACAATTTGAATTGTAAAATGTAAAAAAGTGTACAATGTTTGTGGTCTGTCTCATTATTTGTCGAGTTTTTGGCTATGATTAGGATTTAGATGATCAGCTGAATGATTTAAAAATCCTATTTTCAAAGTCAACAAAAGTTGTAGATATAATTTTTTTTTTTTTTTAAGTTAATTCTCTTTTTGGGAAACTGTTTCCGGCATTATTTGTCTGTTATTACAGGTTCTGTTTGATATCGATTGATAATTTTGAAAATCACGCAATATAAATTACATGTCATATTTTACATTATTACAGAATAACACAGATGCGCACTCTTTGAAGTTAACATATTTGTGAAGATTGGAGATGGTTTGAATTAAATATTAAATTATTAATTATATATAGTTCTAAACTTTTACTTAGAATATGAATAGCTATCGCCAAAATGTGCTATTATCTGGTCATCAATTAGCAAAATCGAACAGAAGATTTTTTTTTTTCTTTTTAAATGACAAAATCGAAGAGAAGATTTTTTTTCTTTTTAAATGACACAAAGTATATCGACACCAGGATAAATCAAACTTTAAAATGTACAATTTGCCATCTTAGATCACGGTACCGGGTACCTGATATATAATAAGGTTTTAAAAAATAAATAAAATGATTAACATTCCTTAGATCAGTGAGCTCTAAGGGAGATAAGTTAGTTAACTATAACTGTCCACATAAAACTTTTTTGCTTAATTTTTGATTTATTTTCTGTACTTTTAGATACAAAAGACATACAAGAGTCATCTTATAGAAATTGAAAAAATTACTTTACGACAATGAGGTTGGAAAATTAATATTTTAATTATGTGTTTGACGCTCATATTTTTTAAATAGTATTATGGTGATTTGAAAAAAAAAAGAACTTTTTAAAATGGTTTTCTTATTGGACAAATATTTATCTTTAGGTCAGATACAGGTACTCGTACACAGTGTTATACAGGGTGCGATGGATAAATTGTTGTCTAAATTATGCAAAAATGAAAATAATACTGACATCTCATTTTAACAGTTATATTTACCAAAATTACACAAAAATATCTTGAAATACTGAAGAGTAAATTTATTCAATAAAATCACCATTGGCTTCAACTACAGCCTCTAGACAACTTCAGAATCTCTTACAACTCTTCTGGAAGGTCTCCTTGTTTAAGTTGGTGAATGCTTCCATAATCCTTGCCTTCAGTTCATCTTTGGGTTTACAAGGAGTTTTGTTGGTCTCTCACTCAACTGCACTGGGGAGTTAGGAGTGATGTGATTGCAGAAATTGTTTGACAGCCATGTCCTGTTTGTGTGGCATGGTGCAGAGTCCTGTTGCCAGATATAGGGAAGCACTATCTCCAAGTCGGCCTCCATGTTGGGTCTGAGGACCTCACCAACAAATTTGAGAGTTCTTTTCTTATCAGAATGAGTTTTCCAATCTGCCATGCCTTTGCAATCACCATCAGACTCATCCAACTCTTTCTGAATCCTCTGCACTGTCCTCAGATTTACACCCAAACACTGAAATGTTTGTATTGGAGCTTCCAGTGCAAAGGACAAGCAATACAGCATGTCGTTTCCAAATTTCAAGCAGTGAATTGCATCATGATGTTCTTTTTCTGACTGTGTCCAACTGACCCTACTATACTACGCATCCGACAAAATTAAAAATATAAAATGGCGACAATTTGC